GCGCTGTGCGCTACGGTAAACTGGTTTAATTGTTTTCATTTCTTATTAGGTAATCTATTTCTCAAAGTAAGTCAGTAACGCGCAATGGTTAAATGCGTAAAACCGCTCTGATACAAATTAAGATTGACCTTAGCGCGTTCCAGCGGTTTACGGACTAGGTGATGTTTCCTTAATGGAAGCCGCGAATGGCCAGAGCACAGGTGATCTCAGAGAGCGGCACCTACCGCAGCTTCTACGGAGTCAAAGGGGGATATGTTAATTAGGAGAAATGAGGGCAACCCAGGGGAGGGGAAGAGTACATGAGCCCTTTTTTCATGTTGTAAAAGTTAAGACGTGCGTACTCTAGTATAATCCACTCTTTGGGCTAAATCGCGTGGACAAGAGCCGCATGTTGACCTATTCAAAGGTCCGAGTTCAAGTAGTCCGTACACTCTACCCGACTGCTTTGGGAAAAATAGATCAGTTGATAGCGTTAGTGACTGGATCCTACTGAAGAATAAAACATATGAGTACTAGCTACAGCGGTACAAACTAAACATGCATCCATACAGTATAACTATGAATCTAGTCGCTTTCAAAAATCGCTGCGTGTGTGGAATGGATATGTGGAATGCATGGCGTATTTGGAGTCACCACTCATGCTTCGTTTTACTACATCTTTTCAAAATTTCTTACATGGTAATAGGCTTCGGGACAGGGTTGGTCCCACCGATGCGACTTTTCGGAAACTAAAATTTGACGACCCCCCACCCTCGCCATCATGGTCGCTGTTTCTATAGTATTTAATTCTGAGACCAGTCGACACACCTAACTCCACCCACTTTTCCCTCCAAACAAAAACAATCTTTTCCCCATGAATTCTAAGATTACATCGAATACGACCCCCCCCCCACCTACAAACTCAACAAAATACGACCCCCCCGTTGGTACTTGTCGCAACATAGGATTGACCCTGCTCCGGGATCACCTTATCCGCTGAATGTTTCGAGGTAAAATCCTTACAAGTACAAGAACTGAAATCTTTTCATTAGTTATAAGTTAACGACAAGTGCATGGCGTATTCCAGAGGAATTAATGAGCTCGTCACTGAAGCTCTTCTCTTGTTCTTTCCCACTGTTACTCTTGTCAAGTATTATAAAAAATTGAGCGCTATCGCAAGGTACGGGGAAATCCTGTTAGACTAAGCTTAGGAGGCGACATGAATTCAGGGGAAAATGAAACTTGTTCATGCATCCTGGAGTTTCTCCTCCTGCGCCTTAGGCAAAGTCAGATTCTAACAGAAGAGTAATGGTTTACGCGAACCTAAATGCATTTCCATCACAATGCCCCTGTATCTTGCAATAATGCCAAAAACTGAGCTCTGAATGGTTACGTACCTTGATCGCGTGAGCGACTGCATGGTAATGCATGAGAGATCCGTAATCGTAAGGAACTCGTCGTGGAGAGACCTTGAAAGAGTTGCTTTTGAAAGAAAATCGGCTCTTGATGCAACTACTGAGGTACAACGTTATCACTTGAAATGTTCAACAACAGTATGAGGCTTCTCGAATTCACTTGAAATCAATGTTTTTCTGATTCTGTGGCCCTTTCTGCCTTAACCTACACCTTAAATATGTGGCCTCGGTACAGGCAGGACGAGCATGAGATCAATGTCATCCAAAGGGCTGTTACGAGGATGATG